ATTATTATATGGTTTGACTATAACATACCCGTTAAACAGATGTCCCCTAAGAGCTCAGTTGCTCACCCATAGTTTGTCGTGCACTTTGCTCCTATCAGGAAAAAACGACACCTCATTGCAAAGAGTCACAGCAACGCAACTCAATATATATATATATATATATATATATATATATAGATAGATAGATAGATGATAATGTGTGTGTGTATGTGTGATTTTTCTTTCTCCTATCTAGCGACATACCCGGCTTAGTCCCAATCTCGTAATGCGTAATTACAATTACTTATTTCCCAAGAGAGTAACACCAAATATGTGATTACTATGGAATCATTGTGGACGCAATTTCATATTAATAACTCAGTCCACTATTCTTTCTTTCTTTCTTGCTTGCTTCCCCCTCTTTCTTTTTCTTCCCTCTTGACGTGCACTCGTGATCGCACAGTGACGCGATGGCAAACTGATTCCATTCATCACAATATTAATAAAATGATTATGAATTTTTGATCTCCATTCTGCTAATGAATAAACAAAGATTTGCAGAACAAGCGGCGTATCTGTATTTATTTACTTCTTTATCTTTTCCGTTTGTTTTTACTATTGATCACCCAATACTTGGTCCAAGAGCCACTCAAGGTAGAAGTGTATATTTTGGATACAGGTCGCATGTATGTGTTTAATTTTAAATACGTATTTATTTTTGTGCTGATGTTTAAACATTTATTTGTTTATTTTTGTGATTATTTTAAAACTTTTATTTTTTTATGCTTGTGCTTAATGTTAAACATTTATTTGTTTATCTTTGTAAGTATTTTTAAATATTTTTTGTTTTTTTTTGTAAGTATTTTATGTTTTTGTCTATTTTTGCACTTATTAATAAACATTTATTTGTTTATTTTTGTACTCATTTTTAAATATTTGTTTATTTTTATGCGTATGTTTAAACATGTTTATTTTCGCGCTTATTTTTAAATATTTATTTGTTTATTTTTGTGATTATTATGGTTGCTGAAGACATTAGGTTTATAATATCCAGAAAGTCATGCACAGATATCCTCAAGGACACATGGCAAAGTTGATAAAGGCGTTAATTAGATATAGTGACAGGACCCAAAGAGTGTGAGTTCAATAGCCGGTTAAGGAGAGGGGAATTAACAGATAACTGATAACTGACATCCATTAAAAGTGGCACGTGGAACTAGAACAGTCTACCCCAGTGAGCAAAATAAAGGGTTCAGTTCGACATTTCAACCATCTGAAGAAGTATGGAGCATACAACGTTGCAATAAATATGGCGACAAAGATTCGGACAATAGTCCGAATAATGTAAATCATACTTATTATAAAACCCAGGTTGTGTGTGTCTGTTCGTTTATATATTGGATCGGATTTCCTACATTTTTCAACCGATTTCAACAAAACTTCAGAGGACTACGTAAAATTACCTTGTGGTGGTTCTGACAGTGTCAAAAATAGGAAAAACGCAATTGTTTTTGCACGAAATCAATTTGAAAACACGATTAAGAGGCATCACTGTCGCCAGAATGAAAGAGTTATATCGAGTTATACTTATTATAAAACCCAGGTTGTTTGTGTGTGTGTGTGTCTGTGTTCGCTTATATATGGGATCGGATTTCTACATTTTCAACCGATTTCAACAAAACTTCACTTTTTTTTTTTGGCAGGTAGTGTTTCTTATTGTCTTGCACACTTTTTTTTTTTTACATTCAGAATGCTTTAAAAATTCCATTTACAAAACAATTGTTTATAATAAAATTCTATTCAATGGGTAGACTCATAACGATTGAAAACAATGTTTTTGTTTGAGTTTGGGTTTGACCAATTCGTAAAAAAATAAAAAATAAAAATTATTAAGACATGCGTGTCCGTCAACCTTAAACAATAATCTTTGTGAATTTTATTTTTCAGTCTTTATGATGGTCGATATTTGATCTATATCTTACTGTTACATTCTCGGGCAACGCTGAGCTCTACTGCTAGTAATTAATAAAACTGATGGACAAACCTGACAACGCACTAGAAGGAGAAGAAAAAATTATCAAGCTTCTTCCAAAAACAAGAGAATGAATAAAGTCTATGTTTTAGGTTGAGTTATAATTTCCATTTTTGCTTATCAACTTACTCAATGATCTTGGTGATGTGACCTCCATCTTCTGGCTTTCTCTTTCTATATTTTGGATAGGAGTCATTCCCTTGTTCAAATTTAAATTTAATTTAAATCAAAGGGAAAAATATTTCAGTGATGGGGTTGTGCAAAAACAGTTTGATCTGACCCCATGGACATGTATTTGATGCAATAAATACTTGATTGAATGAATTGATAATTAGATTTCAACATTGATACGACAGTCGATTTGTCGCAACAAATATGTATTGAACAGAGGGCTTTCTATACTAGAAGTCAATGGACAGGGCGGATTGCTCTCTATGTTGGCGAGCCTACAAAATGGAGGACACCAACTGTAGTTTGATCTGGAGAAGGATGGGCTCCGGGAGGTCTATCTACCTGTCCAAGACACACTACGCAAGAAGGTATGACTTTGCAACTTTCAAACGGGGCAGGGGGGCTGGTCAGGTGATCAGCAGCGCACTAATACCTCCAAACACAAGTGATCATGGAAATGTCGATGATGATGATGACGATGTTGACGATGATGATGATGATGTTGATGATGATGATGATAATAACGATGTTGATGATGATGATGATGATGAGGATGTTGATGGTGATGAGGATGTTGATAATGATGATGACGATGTTGATGATAATGTTGATGATGATGCTGAAGATGATGATGATGATGACGATGTTGATGAAGATGATGATGACGCTGTTGATGATGATGTTGATGATGATCATGATTTATTCAATTATATGTTCACTATTACTTAGGAAGACTTGTTGCCACTTAGCAGGCCGTTCTTTCACACCTTTTGATTAAAAAGTGCGGACGTTTTGACGAGAAACGTTTTTTCGGCGAATTCTAAAGAAATTTTTCCCTATAAAACCTTTCCTTTTTTTTTCCAACGATCTTCGAGATCCCTTTCTGACATCCATCAGTATGGCTGATGCTAACCTCCAGAAGAACGACTCGTTGCGCCTTCTCTAGCTAGCATTTTATTGAATCCATTGCTAGGTCTGCTGCTAAAAGAAGTTGCTTCACAGGGTCGTGCTAGACAAGTTTTCATCTCCAGAATCTGTCTTGCATATTTATAAGTCTACCATTCGTCCGTGCTTAGAATATTGCTTCAATGTATGGTTCAGTGCTCCTGCTATTTATCTAAAGCTCCTTGAAAAAAAATCATAAGAAGAATGAATAATATTATTGGTTCTGACTTGGCAATTCAACATCAGTCACTTTCCAAGCACCGAGATACCAACCTATTTAAGGTAGCTTGTCAGAGCAGTTGCCATGAAAATATTTGTAGAAAAGACGGAGGGAAGCCACAACAATCTTAGAATATTGCTACCAGATATAGTCTGGTACTCTTGCTATTTACCTAGATCTCTTTGATAAAATCAGCAATATTATTGGTCCTGACCTAGTATCGCGGCTTCAGTCACTTTAGCTTCGCTGTGCTTTTTCTATAAAAACTTTCAATTTAACTGTTCTGGTAAACTTTCGCCTATGTTATTTTTATTCCCACCCCAGACAAATTGTACACGTGAGAACTAGTTAGGACTTCATAGAGACCTGGAGGTATTATGGTGACTGCAGTAAGAATGATAAGTAAGAATGTGATGTTTTAGTGTAAGGAATACTGTGGTAATTGTGGCTAGCTAAGTTTAAGATAAGACAGATTGAAGACCAGCTTTCCACTGATGCTCCCTTCGGCCTTGTGCTACATGTTATAATGCTGTAACCTAGAAAAGGTTACTGAATGAGGAATAACCAAAACGGTGGTTGGAAACGAAATCGTAATCTTTATAACATCAACAAAATACAATACTCGCCAGCGACGTGAAATAGGTAAACCACTGCTAGTGTCGAACAACTTAGACAGAATATTACCCCTATTTACAATTGTTTCCAGCGTATTTATGAGGATTGGGACATACCCATTATTGTTCATAGGTCCGGTATGTAACATATAACGAAATAGATATTAATTTCTTCTGTATCCTTTTCCTTCCGCAGTCCCACAGAAAAAAATGGTGACTAGTTAGGATTACATAGAGACTATGAGGTATTATAGGAGCTGTAGTAAGAATGTCAATTAAAAAAGTGTTGTTTTGATTTAAGGAATACTGGGGAATGTTTGGGTCAGTAATCGCCGCTAGCTTAGTTTAAGATAAGACTAATTGAAGACCACGATCACCCATCCCTCTTTTGGCCTTGTGCCACATTTTGTTCAAATAATTATTACCTTCCTCGATGAATTTAAGCGCCGTACTAGATTGGCAGCAAGGTCACATCAATTACCAGTTAAATTGGCTAGATGTAACCGTATGTTCTATGTTAACAGTTTTTTTTCCTTACACTATCACTGATGAAACTCTCTTCCGGCTTCTTGCTTTCCAGGCAAATTTGATCTTCAAAAAATTCAGATCCAATGTAAATCGTTTTCGACTGTCTTCTTGATTACTCTTCTTTTTATTGTTCTCGCACCTTCATAACGTTTCTCTTCTTTTTTTCTTATTCTTTCACACTCAGTAGCCCCTCGTGTCTTAGTGGCTTTGCTGCCTTGCATAGGCTGACATAATTAAAAAGAAATCGATTGATGCAAGTTCAGGTGCATGTTTTCCAAAAACTTGAGGTGGAACAACTACATTGAATCAACAGCTGCATCTACTGTAAGGAAAGTCGGTTTACTGTGCAGTGCCAAAGGATTTTCTCGTCAGAGTTCATCTTACACATCTACAAATCTTCCATTCGTCAGTGCATTCAATATTGTTATCATATCTGGTCTGGTGCATAAAAAGAAATAAAGCTTACAGATAGATAGATAAATAGATAGATAGATTAAAGAATGCTGCTTACAGATAGATAGATAGATAGATAGATAGATAGATAGATAGATAGATAGATAGATAGACAGGCAGACTAAAGAATGCTGCTGATAGATAGATAGATAGATAGATAGATAGATAGATAGATAGATAGATTATAGAATGCTGCTTACAGATAGATAGATAGATAGATAGATAGATAGATAGATAGATAGATAGATAGATAGATAGACAAAAGAATGCTGTTGATAGATAGATAGATAGATAGATAGATAGATAGATAGATCCTGAAAATCCCCAATCAAAGCCAAGTGTTGGATCCCTAAAATGATCGATACCTTTCACTGCATTCAATAACGCCCACGCTACTTAGACCCGATTCTCGTGAGCCTATTTTCCAAATCTCTCTGCATGGTCACCTCATAGTCAAGTGGCGAATCGGTCTAATGCCTCTTTTAATCGACTGTATAGAAAGTCCATTCCATCGCCGTTGGTCCATGGTCTACGGCAAAATATACCCTAAACGTGACCAGCATTTATTAGAAATCCCTGAAAGGTTTACGGATTCTCATTCGCTAGGGATGTGCGCCCGGATATAAAACTGCATGACAGATTCCCTTTTTTTGACGTGCCCCTTTATGAAAGGGGCAAAATAAATGTCTTTGAGTTGGCAGCGTGGGATTTTATTTTTGAAAATCAGGACTGGTTGATCCGTCAGATGAGAGATGTTTATAGATGAAGATTGATAGCCATTTTTAATACATATTCTGATTTGGTTAATATGAAGAGAGAAATAGAAAGAAAGAAAGATTTGAAAACAGAACGAACAGATTCAAGCGAAAGAAAACAAAAAAAGGAAATAAATATTTGAATTAAAAAATTAATTAAATCAAAATATATATGGATATATATATATATTTAAAACAAGAAAGAAAGAAAAAGATTCGCAATAAAAACAAAAGAAAGAAAAGAATGGGCAAAAGAAAGATTCGAGAGAGAAAGAAAGAAAGAAAGAAAGAAAGAAAGAAAGAAAGAAAAAAAAAAAAAAGAAAGAAAAAAAGACTCGCCATAAAAACGAAAAAAAAAGGTTTGAGTCAAAAAAGATTCGAGAGAAAGAAAGAAAGAAAGAATGGAATGAAGAAAGAGTAAAAAAGAAAGAAAGAAAGAATAGATTCTAGTGAAAGAAAACAAAAGAAAGGAAATAAATATTTGAATGAAAAAAAATAATTAAATCGAAATATATATAGATATATATCACGAAAACAAGAAAGAAAAAAGAAAGAAAGAAAAAGATTCGCGATAAAAACAAAAGAAAGAAAAGATGTGAGTCAAAAAAAGATCGAGAGAAAAAAAGTTCAAAAGCAAGAAAGAAAGATATGAAAAGATAAACGAATAAAAAAGAAAGAAAAGATTTAAATTAAAGAAAGAAAGAAAAAAAGAAAGAAAGAATTTAAGATACAGATACAATATCTGGAGGTGTTTAAGAACTGCTACGTGATAGAAAGAGTGTAACTTAGAAACACTCTTAGATTCAAAGAAAGAAAGAAAGAAAGGATTCTTAGGGAAGAAAAAGAAAGAAAGAAACAATTAAGGATTCTTAAGAAAGAAAGAAAGAAAGAAAGAAAGAAAGAAAGAAAGAAAGAAAGGATTCTTAGGAAAGAAAAATGAAAGAAAGAAAGAAAGAAATTAAGGATTCTTAGGGAAGGAAAAAGAAAGAAAGAAAGAAGGATTTGAAAGAAAAAAAATTTCCATGTGTGATAGAGAGAGGTGGGTGGATAAAGAAAAATAAATATTCGAAAGATAAAGACATTAAATCCGAAATAGCGAAATGAGTAGATTTGGATTAAATCCGACAGAATCGAAAATATATAAACCATTTTTGCCAAAACTGGCCAAGAAATGGTTCATGTCTAATAACTCCAAGGTTTTTAAATGGACAATCCGGAGTCAAAACTTTAAATTCGAACGAGAATTTCTGAAGAGGGCTGTATACATAAAATGATGATGAAGAACTCAAAGGGCATTTTGCCAACAGTCCATCATAAGGGTGGCCGTACTATTTTAAGCTAGAACCCCAAACAGACTGATAAAACCATCGTCTGACACATCATTGAATCTTCCTAGAGGCTAATGAGCCAGAATATATGCCGACATTCTTGGACAGGAATTGGCTAGGGCAGCCAGCCTTGGAAGATGTTAGCCCAAATAAGAATTTGGGGGATGAGTTGAAGACAGGTATAATGGCGACGAAGCCTTCTAGATTTTATGATGTGGCGATCATAGCAATTGGGGAGTGGGCTTCCATCCAGGTTGAGATTTGTCCTGATATATTTATAGAATACTATTTGAAAGAAAGAAAGAAAAAAAAGAAAGGAAGAATGAAAGAAAGAAAGACGTTCGAGACTAAAAGGAAAAAAAATTCGAGAAAAAGAGGATATTCAAATGAAAAAAAGAAAGAAAGAAAAAGATACGAGAGTTAAAAGGAAGAAAGAAAAGATTTTAGTCAAAGAAAGATTGGAGAGAAAGAAAAAATATTCAAATGAAAGAACGAAAGAAAGAAAGAAAGAAAGAAAGAAAGAAAGAAAAAGAAAGAAAGAAAGGAAGAAAGAAAGAAAGGAAGAAAGAAAGAAAAGATTTGAATCAAAAAAAGATTGGAGAGGAATAAAAAGACCAAAAAGAAAGAAAGAAAGAAAAGAAAGAAAAAAAAAAAAGAAAAAGAAAGAAAAAAAGAAAAAAAAAAAGAGTGAAAAAGAAAAAAAAGAAAGAAAGAAAGAAAGAAAAGAAAGAAAGAAAAGATTTGAATCAAAGAAAGATTGGAAAGGAATAAAAGACGCCCAAAAGAAAGAAAGAAAGAAAGAAAGAAAGAAAGAAAGAAAGAAAGAAATAAAAAATTCGATATTTAAAAAGAAACAAAAGATCTGAGTTAAAGCAAGATTCGAGAGAAAGAAAGGATATTCAAAAGAAAGAAAGAAAGAAAGAAAGAAAGAAAGAAAGAAAGAAAGAAAGTGAAATCCGATGTGTAAAAAAAGAAAAGATTTGAGTTAAAGCGAGATTCTCGAGAAAAAAAGGATATTAAAAAAGAAGCAATAAAGAAAGAAAGGAAGAATGAAAGAAAGAAAGAAAGAAAGAAAGAAGGAAAGAAAGGAAGCAAGAAAAAAGAAAGAAAGAAAAAAGAAATCAAGAAAGAAAGGAAAATTCGATAATTAAAAAAAGATTTGAGTTAAAGCGAGATTCTCGAGAAAGAAAGGATATTAAAAAAGAAGCAAGCAAGAAAGAAAGAAAGAATGAAAGAAAGCAAGAAAGAATAAAGAAAGCAAGAAAGAAATTTCGATACTTAAAAAAAAGAAAAGATTTGAGTTTAAGCGTGAAACTCGAGAAAGAAAGGATATTCAAAAAAAAGCAAGAAAGAAAACAAAAAAAAGAAAGAAAGGAAGAAGGAACGAATAAAAGAAAGGAAGAAAGAATTAAAGAAAGAAAGGAAGAAAGAATGAAAGAAAGAAAGTAAGAAAGGAAGAAGTGAAGAAAAATAAAGAGAAAAGAAATCTAGAAAGAAAGGAAAATTCTATAGTTAAAAAAGAAAAGAAAAAGAAAGAAAAGATTTGAGTTAAAGCAAGATCTGTGAGAAAGAAAGGATACTCAAAAGAAAGAAAGAAAGAAAGAAAGAAAGAAAGAAAGAAAGAAAGAAAGAAAGAAAGAAAGAAAAATAGTTAAGTATACAGCTGGCCAACTCATTTTTTTCTTTCTTTTTTTTTCTTTTTTCTTTTTATTCGCTATTCTTTCACTCCCGCCTCTGGATCCATTAATGATCTCGCCGGACACTCCATCACAGTCTGCTTTCTTTTTCTACATTCTTCTCCTCCCATTTTTTTTCTCTCCCGGAACACCTTCCATCTTCTTCCCCATCCCCAACAGATCCCATACCATCCCTATACCTTCATATACTTCTCGCCATTTTCACCCGGCATCCAATTCGTTCCACATCCGGAAACGCACTAGTGATTTTCCAAGGAAAAGAGGCCTCGCAGCAAATCCTGTCTGTCTACAAAGCCGCCGTCCGTGCCAACTTCCCATTCAACACCGGGAACTTTCGTCTCCAGGGTATGTTTTCCGATGCACCGTCTGCAATTTTACGCGGACGCATTCCTCCCGGAGACGCCGTTTTCGTTTGTCTTAGAGACAAGGCCTGGCTGCAAATACATGGCTATCACAAATGCCTTGTCATTGTCCTCTGCTATTTTCTTTTAACATTGTATTCTTGAATTATTTCCTTCCGCCTTTCTTTTATTTGTTTATTTTTTTTTATGCAATTATTTTCTTTTCAAGAGAGGAGGGGGAGCAGATAATTTGGGACATGTATTTGTCCCCAAATTATTTTCCCGCCATTCTTTCCCCGATTTTATTCGATGCTATTCTATTATTTGCACGTTTAGTTCTGATAAAGGTTTTCTCTTTCTTACCGGAAGTTATGCTTCTTCTTGGTTTTATTTGTTTCTTGCCCCTTTTTTTTCTTTCTTTCTTTCTTTTGTCTTTTTTTTTCTTTCTGAAATCTTTCCTTTCCTTTTAATAACTTCCGTTTCTTTTCTTTTTTTTCTTTTATTCTTTATTTATTTATTTTGTCCTAATTTTTCTTTCTGAAATCTTTCCTTTCCTTTCAATAACTTCTCTTCGTGTTATATTGCTTTTCTTTTCTTTCTTTCTTTCTTTCTTTCTTTCTTCTGTCTGTCTTTCTTTCTTTCTTATTCAAAGTTTCTTTCTTGCTCTTTTCTTTACCGTCTATTTTTCACTTTCTTTTTTCCCCTTTTCTCGGAGAGGATTTTCTTTTTACGTATTTCTTATTCCCTCCTTTTTTTATGTCTCTTTCCTTCCGCATTTTCGTTTTTCTTTTTACTTTCTTTCTTTTTTGAATAGGACTTTCTTTTTGAATCATTTCTTTCTTCATGTATTTTATTTCTTACTCCTTTTTCTCGTTTTTCCCTCCTGCTTTTCCCTTCTTTCTTTCTTTCTTTCTTTCTTTCTTTCTTTTTTTACGCATTTTCTTTTTTTTTCTTTTGATCTATTTTGAATGGGACCTTCTCTTTGCATCATTCTTTCTTCCAGTATTTTTTTTCTTACTGCCTTTTATTTATTTTTTCCTTCTACTTTCTTCCTTTCTTTCTATCTTTTTGGAAATTTTGTTACTACTGCAGCACATTATATTCATTCAGCTCATTCGTCTTTCTTCTTTCTTTCGTTCGTTTCATTCTGCATTTCTCCTTTTCTCACTTCTTACATTCTATTTTTCTTTCTTTCTTTCTTTCTTACTTTTTCTTTCGTATTTCTTCCTTACGTTTTTTCTTTCTTCTCTTTCTTTCTTTCTTTCTTTTTTACTTTCTTTCTGTCTTCTTTCTTACTTTTTCTTTCTTTCTTCTTTCTTTCTTACGTTCTTTTTTCTTAATTTCTTTCTTTCTTCTTTCTTTCGTTATTCTTTCTTTCTTACTTTCTTTTTTTCGTTCTTCTTTATTTCCTTCCTTCGTTCTTTCTTTCTTTCTTTCTTTCTTTCTTTCTTTCTTTCTTTCTTCTTTTCTTTCGTTGTTCTTTTTTACTTTGTATCTTTCTTTCTTTCTTTCTTACTCTCTGTCGTTCTTCTGTTTTCTTTCTTTTTACTCTCTTAACTTACTTTTTATTCCTTTTTTTCTTTCTTTCTTTCTTTCTTCTCCCTCCTATATACCCATAAACCTTTCTAATTCACTCGCTGAACTCCTATCTCGACCCCGCTTTCCTCCTGTTCCCTTTACTCTCCAACTTTTGTTTCCACATTTTTTCTTTTGTCCCTTCAGTCCCAGAAGCATATCCCCGCTACAAATAAATGGACAACAACGATAAAATGGTGATGAGAAAAAGGCCAATATTTTCTTTCGATTATATCCGGTCCCCAGATGTCGGCCATGACAGGCAAATTGGGAAAAAACAATATGGCGAACCATAACGGATCACTGAAGAACACGAACTCGTCGGAATGTGCTTGTTAGTAAGCAACTTGGGATTAAACGCCAATACGAAAAAGAGAAAGAATAGACAATGGAAATTGAGAGGGAGGGAGTAAATAAAACAAAGAAAGAGGACAGAGAGAGAGAGAGAGAGACTATAAAATGGAAATTGAGAAGGAGTGAGTAAATAAAACCAAGAAAGAGGGCAGAGAGAGAGAATAGATAATGGAAATTGAGAGGGAGGGAGTAAATAAAACAAAGAAAGAGGACAGAGAGAGAGAGAGAGACTATAGATAATGGAAATTGAGAGGGAGGGAGTAAATAAAACAAAGAAAGAGGGCAGAGAGAGAGAATAGATAATGGAAATTGAGAGGGAGGGAGTAAATAAAACAAAGAAAGAGAGCAGAGAGAGAGAGAGACTATAAAATGGAAATTGAGAAGGAGTGAGTAAATAAAACCAAGAAAGAGGGCAGAGAGAGAGAATAGATAATGGAAATTGAGAGGGAGGGAGTAAATAAAACAAAGAAAGAGGGCAGAGAGAGAGAGAGACTATAAAATGGAAATTGAGAAGGAGTAAATAAAACCAAGAAAGAGGGCAGAGAGAGAGAATAGATAATGGAAATTGAGAGGGAGGGAGTAAATAAAACAAAGAAAGAGGGCAGAGAGAGAGAATAGATAATGGAAATTGAGAGGGAGGGAGAAAAAAAACAAGAGTGCCGAGAGAGAGAGAGAGAGAGAGAGAGAGAGAATAGAAAATGGAAATTGAGGAGAAGGAAGGAAGGAAGGAAGGAAGGAAAAAGAGAGAGAGAGAGAGAGAGAGGGGATAAAAAAATGAAAATTGAGAGGGAGAAAAAGATGGGGAAATATAAACCAATATAGAAGGCCGTGAGATTGAGTGAGATAATAAAAAATGGAAGTTGAGACGAATGGACGAAGGGTGGAGGGGGGAGAGTAAATAAAATCAAGAGAGAGGGGGAAGAGGAAGGGATAAAGAGAGAATAGAACATGATAGGAAGGAGGGAGTAAGCCAAATTAAGAGAGACGACCGAGAGAGAAAGAGAGAAAGTATCCAAAATAAAAATTGAGAGAGAGTACGGGTATAAACAAAACCATGAGAGAAAGACGAGAGAGAAAAAAAAGAGAGAGAGAGAGAGAGAGAGAGAGAGAGAGAAATGTAAATTCCGAGGGTGGAAGAGAGAAAGAGAGAGAGCGATTAAATAAAACCAAGAGAGAGGACTGAGAGAGAAAGAATATAAAATGAAAGTTTGGAGGGAAAGATTAAATAAAACCAAGAGGTATGACCGAAGAGAAAGAGATAGATAGATAGATAGATAGATAGATAGATATATTGAAGCCTGTATCCCTTTATACCCGTGCACGACAAAATCACATTTATTTAGTCCTGCGTCTCCATACAGTTAGATTGGTTAGGCTGGTGCAGCGGTTCACGCACTTTTTGAAAACTTTTTGTTGCTTACTAGAATTCATACGCAAAGTTGGGCGGACTAAGTTCTTTTAGCTTGACCCATGGCGCTTCAGAGACGTTTCCTGGAGAAAATTATGGGTGACGTAGCGAAATTATCTTAAAAACGTTTAATAGGGTGAAATATTTTGACCATATATAGGATATTATATAGAAAAAAAGAAAGAAAGAAAGAAAGAAAGAAAGAAAGAAAGAATGGAAAGTTTCGAAAAAAAGACAGAAAGAAATATTAGAAAGAAAGAAAGGAAGAAAGAATTGAAAGATGAGAAAGAAAGACAGAATGTATAAATTAGAAAGAAAGAAAGAAAGAAAGAAAGAGAGAAAGAAAGAATCTAAAGATTCCAAAGAAAGAAAGTCAAAAAGAAAGAACATAAAGATTAGACATAACAAAAGACAGGGTGGAAAGATTAGAAAAAAGAAAGAAAGAAAGAATGTAAAGATTCGAAAGAAAGAAAGAAAGAAAGAAAGAAAGAAAGAAAGAAAGAAAGAAAGAAAAAGATTCACGAGAGAAAACGAAAGAAAAAAGATTTGAGTCACAGAAAGACTCGAAAAGAAAGAAAGAAAGAAAAGAATATTAGAGAGAAAAAAAGAAAAGTAAGGAACTGTGTAGCTTGATCCTCATACGTCAAAAAACGACAAGAGAGTCCAGGATATATATATATATATATATATATATATATATATATATATATAATATATATATATATATATATATATATATAATATATATATATATATATATATATGTATATGTGTGTGTGTGTGTGTGTGTGTGTGTGTGTGTGTGAAGATAAACGACACGTTTCTGCCAAGAACGTGTGCTACTTTCGGCTTCTTCAGGTTAGAATTAATGACAAAAGCAAAATGCGTTGGGATCTCTGTGGATAAGAGGCAAGGCAGGGGTGTCAAATTACCTTATCAGATCCGACGACCATAAACCAGAAAGTGCTTGTTATATATATATATATATATATATATATATATATATATATATAATAGGGTGCGATGTCTTAATTACGCGAAAATGAAAATACCACTGACATCTCCTTTTAACGGATATATTTACTAAAATTACCCGAAAATACCTTGAAATACTAAACAGTCTATTTATTTCCAAAAAATCGTCGTTAGCTTCAACCACGGCCTCAAGACGATCCCGGAATCTCCTGCAACTCTTCTGGGCGGTCTCCTTGTTTAAGTTGGTGAATGCTGCCATAATCCTTGCCTTCATTTCATCTTTGGTGTTACAATGAATTGTGTTGTTCTCTCGCTCAAGTTTACCCCACACATAATAATCAAGGGGGGTGTAATCTCTCGTTGTAATTATACATGGGGAATTACTAATAATATTTTTTTCAGAAAAATGCGTATTATACATGGGGAATTACGGTAAATATCTTTATTAGCGGTCAAAAAACTACTGTGGAACAAATTTTGTTTATTCTTTGTTGAAAGAAGCTGGGGATCATGGGTGCGTATTATGCAAAGCTACAAAAAATCTTTAAAAATTGCCATAAAATAAAATAAGAATTATCATAAAACTAAATTAGAATAATAATATTCTATGTTTAAAACCATTTTTTTACGCTAGCCGTAATGAAATTTGAGGGATACAATTTATAGAGTTTGATTACCAAACAAGGAGTGCGTGCTATGCGCGTGTAGAAGCATTTTCCCACACTTTCAACACCATTTAAGTGTGCGTATTATGGATGAAACCGTATTATACAAGAGGAATTACGGTATATTCCTAACAAATAAATTTCCGCGACGGGCCTAGTAGGCTAGCAATTGATACAATTTTGCTATTTATACAGAAGACCTGGATATATAGTGGTTTACGGCCATATCACGTCTAAACACCAGTTACCGTACTCTTTGGGTCCTGTCACTAACGCCTTTATTCACTGTGCCATGTGTCCTTGAGCACCCAAAGAGTGTGAGTTCAATACCCGGTTAAGGCGGTGGAGAACTTGAAGAGGGGAATTAACTGGAGATAACTGATAACTGATATCCATTAGGCACGTGGAACTAGAACAGTCTACCCCAGTGAACGAAATAAAGGGTTCAGTTCGACATTCCAACCACCTGAAGAAGCCCGGAGCGTACAATGGCCGAAACGTTGTAATAAATATGGCGAGAAAGATGAGGACAATAGTCCGAATAATGTAAATAGTGTAAATTTCTGGTGTGTTTTAGAATGAAACCTTACATCGTTCAGTTTCCAGTCAGATTTTGTTGAATGTGGACGTTTTGTCCACAAATGAATGCCTTAAAGATGGAGGATGAAAACTTGCCCATCCGCCATTTTTTGTTCCACGAATTTCTGAAATGGAATAAATGAAAGAAGTCTAACAAAAAAAAAAAAAACATTCAGAACGTTTATTTGGATCGTGTTCCGGCTCTTCGGACGGACAAAAAGTTTGGCTGATTTCATCAAAGATGATTTTGACCTAAACGATCAACCACATCCCTAGCGACCTTCCGACGTCGATTAAGACTCTCTGATTGCTATCATGGAGAACAAACGGAAGATTTTGATGGAAGAGATTGCTAAGAGTTTGAATATCGATATTTGAACTGCCTTTCTCCATTTGAAGAGACTTGGGTTTAAGAAAAACGGCCGATTTCGGCAAATCGAAAAGGCCTTATTTTCCAGCACGACAACACAAGACCGCATGTTGCAAAACAGACCTTGAAGAAAATTAAGAAGTTGAAATGGGAACCCTCCACTACCTACCGTATTCTTGTGACTTAGGACCTTCGCATTTTTATTTTTGTGTTCTTTGATGAACAATTTGAATGACATAAGAAATGACTGTACAGTCAGTGGAAGACTACCTCACATCCTTCGAAGAAAGAAAAAAAAATGAAAATGGCGTTAGCAAGCTTGGACAACGATGGGAAGACAGTTGTTAAAGCAATGGAGGCAATGTACTTTTGTAATAAATGTTTTTGTGTGAGTAAATAAAACTTTGTTTTAATTTTCTAATCGGCCACAAACTTTTGTGATGATCTATCTTCCTGGGATGTATCATCCATTTTTTCTTAATATAAAGTTACAAGGCAAGAGCATTGCCTCGTAATATTTCAGCACGTTGCAAAGAATCTACAAAAAAGAAAAAGTTTTTGTAACCTCTATGTGACGTTTTAACAACGTCATTTTGTTAGCTAGGAAGAAACCTAATATTCAATTAAAGGGACTAATTCTTCCTTATTAGAAAACGTAATATATTGGGTAAATAAACATGGCGGTAGAAGAAGAAATCTGTTAATACGCATGCGTGCAAATAACTGTTTTTCTTACAGTTTTCCAACAGTGTCAGAAAGCCAATTTGCCAGTAACAAGTCAGAATGGAGCCATGTTTTTGGACAAAAGAAAATATAGAGGGGGTATAGAAGAAAATAAATGTGAAAATGAAGAAAAAAAATTAGCAAAAAAGAAAATGAAACAAAGAAAAGTAGAATAAAAATATTAAGAAAAGAGAAACGTTTGAAAAATGAAGTCGACCGAAGAAGAAGAAAAAGAAGAAGAAAAAGAAGGAGAAGAAGAAGAAAAAGAAGAAGAAAAAGAAGGAGAAGAAGAAGAAGAAAAAGAAGAATAAAAAGAAGGAGAAGAAGAAGAAGAACGTCAGTCGCCATCTTGTGTCTTTTTGAAAAATAGAGGAGGAGGTATAAAAGAGTAGTGAGGGGTAGGAAAAGTAAAGAACAAAATGAAGATAGAGAGAAACGGGGGAGGGGAACATGGAAGGAGAAACAGAGGAGGAGGACGAGGACGCAAAATGCTCAAGAATTAAACATGAAGAAAAAGAGAGAAAAAAAGATGGGGACAGACAGACGCCAACTACGTGTAAGGACGAATATTAGAAACAAAAACATTTTAAAAGTATGATAATAATAATAATAATAATAATAATAATGATAATAATAAGTTAAAATGCAGTAGAGCCCCCATCTATATGTTAAGCATAACGAGAAATTAATAATAATAACTAATAATAAAATAGAACAATTATAACCATAGACTGTAATAAAAGTTATGTGATTCGTTCTTACCGCAGATCTTATTAGGCACAATAAGAGATTAATAACAAAACCTAATAATAAAATGGGGCAATTATAACAATAGACTGTAATAAAAGTTATGTGATGGATAAAAGATTCGTTCTTACGGTAGATCTTATTTGGCACAATAAGAGATTATTAACAATAACTAATAATAAAATGGAACAATTATAACAATAGCCTGTAATAAAAGTTATGTGACGGATAAAAGATTCGTTCTTACGGTAGATCTTATTAGGCACAATAAGAGAATAATAACAATAACTAATAATAAAAAATGGAATAAAAGTTATGTGACGGATAAAAATTCGTTTATAACAATAGCCTAAGAGTAATAACAAAAGTTAAATGACGGATAAAAGTTATGTGACGGATAAAAGATTCGTTCTTACGGTAGATCTTATTAGGCACAATAAGAGAATAATAACAATAACTAATAATAAAATGGAACAATTATAACAATAGCCTGTAATAAAAGTTATGTGACGGATAAAAGATTCGTTCTTAACGTAGATCTTATTAGGCACAATAAGAGAATAACAGCAATAATAATAATATTGGGAAATTATAAAAATAGACTGTAATAAATGTTATGTGACACATAGAAACTTTGTTTTACCGTAAATCTTATTAGGCCGAGTACGAGATTAAGAACAATGACTAATAATAAAATGGGGCAATTGTAACAATATAAACTGGCGTGCAAAACTTGTGGAGTAACTACATAAAATGATAATACATGTTAAGTTGATCGTTTACCAGATCAAGATCATCCTGAACAGGTTTTCTTCCAGTTCCTTCCAAGGTGTATCCTGGGTCCTGCATTGTTTTGGATCTTCATTTGTCATTTTCCTGATATCAGTTTTCATGTTGGCCTCTAAACAGATGACACTACCATTCACAACTGCCTCAATAGTAAATCCTTCAACGCTGACAAAAGTTAACCTGGCCGCTGCTCTTGAAAATTTCACCAATCAGTGGTTAAATGGGGCATCCAAACGTAAACTACTCTCATTTAAGCGCGACAGAATGACTTGAATCAATAGCTGCATCTACTGCAAGTAAAGTTGGTACTCTGTTTCCTGCTAGGTTTATTTTCCATTCGTCCATGCATTGAATATTGTCGCCATATCTGGTCTGTCATTCATCTCGATATTTTCGGCAAAACCCAAAGAAGGATCTGCAATGTAATCGGTCCTGACCTGGCATCTCGACTCCAGTCACTTTCTCACTGGCATAATAGGTCTCCCTTCCGTCTTTTCTACAAATATTTTCATGGCAACTGTTCTGATAAGCTATCTCCCCTGATGCCCGACACCATGAATTTAAGCGTACTACTAGATAGGTATCTATGATCCACCTGGAAATTTGGGGCCGAGCCTACGAGCTCGGTTTTGACCCCACATAAAACAAAGGGAATTGTGATACATCCTGCAACGCGGTGGCGGGCTATAGTAAATATCCTTGCTTCGGGAATTAGTTGGAGATTGGTCTCAAGCTGTCCTGGTTGAACTCTATACCTTCGTGCAGAGAACACAGTGGGGGCTATGCTGATAGGAAGAGACCCGTCGGGGGGGGGTTGCTATACAGCTATCCGACCCCGAGTATACAGAGTCTACGGGAAAATTTTGCAGGAGCCTACGGGCTCAGTTTTACCCCACATTAAAAAACGGCCTTGTGCCACATCCTGCCTCGCGGAGAGATAAGGTAAATAACCTTCCTTCGGGAATTAGTGGCATTCCACCCGATTCCCTGTCTATCACTGAGGAGACTGCTGTATCTATGTTGTGAGAGTGATTATCACTCACCCGCGTTGCCAATGACACTTAGGAGAATGCCGGGTCTATATTGTGTGTGTGATTATCACTCACCCGCGTTGCCAATGATACTGAGGGCACTGCTGGATATATATTGTGAGAGTGGTTATCACTCACCCGCCTTGCGAATGACACTTAGGAGAATGCTGGGTCTATATTGTGTGGGTGATTAGCAATCACCCGCGTTGCCAATGATACTGAGGGCACTGCTGGGTCTATATTGTTAGGGTGATTAGCACTCACCCGCATTGCCAATAACAAAGAGGAGACTGCTGGATATATATTGTGAGAGTGGTTATCACTCACCCGCGTTGCCAATGACACTTAGGAGAATGCCGGGTCTATATTGTGTGGGTGATTAGCAATCATCCGAGTTCCCTAGACAGGTCTATTATATTGTGTGCGTTGCCAATGATTGAGGCACTGCTGGATATATATTGTGAGAGTGGTTATTACTCACCCGCCTTGCCAATGACACTTAGGAGAATGCTGGGTCTATATTGTGTGGGTGATTATCAATCACCCGAGTTCCCAATGAGACATTGTAGACAGCTGGGTCTCTATTGTATGGGTGATTAGCACTCACCCGCCTTGCGAATGACACTTAGGAGAATGCCGGGTCTATATTGTGTGGGTGATTAGCAATCATCCAAGTTCCCAGTGAGAGATTGTAGACAGCTGAGTCGCTATTGGAGAGGGTTATTAGCACTCACCCGCCTAGTCAATGACACTTAGGAGATTGCTGGGTCTGTATTGTGACGGTGATTAGCACTCACCCGCGTTGCCAATGATACTGAGGGCACTACTGGATCTATATTGTTAGGGTGATTAGCACTCACCCGCATTACCAATAACAAAGAGGATACTGCTGGATATATATTGTGAGAGTGATTAGCACTCACCCGCCTTGCCAATGACACTTAAGAGAATGCTGGGTCTATATTGTGTGGGTGATTTGCAATCACCCGAGTTTTCAATGAGACATTGCAGACAGCTGGATCGCTATTGTGAGGGTTATTAGCACTCACCCGCCTAGCCAATGACCCTGAGGAGACTGCTGGGTCTATATCAAAAGGGTGATTAGCACTCACCCGCATTGCCAATAATATTGAAGGGACTGCTGGGTCTATATTGCGAGGTGATTGGCAATCACCCGTGTTGCCAATGACGCTATGTCGACTGCTGGTCTATACTGTGAGGGTGATTAGCACACACCCGCGTTGCCAATGACACTGAGGAGAGTGCTGGATCTATATTGTGAGGGTGATTAACATTCACCCGTGTTACCAATGACGTTGAGGAGATTGCTCTATCTGTATTGTGAGGGTGATTAGCAATCACCCGCGTTGCTAATGACACTGAGGTGTCTGCTGATCAATATTGTGAGGGTGATTAGCAATCATCCGCCTTGCCAATGACACATTGTTGACTGCTGAGTCTATATTGTGAGAAGGATGAGCACTCACCCGCGTTCCCAATGACACATTGTTGACTGCTGGATCTATATTGTTTGGGTGATTGGCACTCACCTGCGTTGCCAGTGACACTTAGGAGACTGCTGTATCTATATTGTGAGGAGGGTTATCACTAACCCGCGTTGCCAATGATACGGAGCAGACTGCTGGTCTGTATTGTGAGGAGGATTAGCACTCACCCGCGTAGCCAATGACACTGAGGAAACTGTTGAGTCTCTATTGTGAAGGAGAATAGCACTCGCCCGCTTAGCCACTGACACTGAGGAGACTGCTAGTCCATATTTTGAGGTAGGTAAGCACTGACCCGCCTTGCCCATGATACTGGGGAGACTGCTGAGTCTATATTGTGAGGAGGATTCGCACTCACCCACGTTGACTATGACACTGAGGACACTGCTGGATCTATATTGTGAGGGTGATTACAACTCACCCGCGTTTTCAATGACGTTGAGGATATTGCTGGATCTATATTGTGAGGGTGATTAGTAATCACCCGCGTTGCTAATGACGCTGAGGAGACTGCTGATCAATATTGTGAGGAGGATTAGCACTCAACCGCGTTGCCAGTAATACTGAGGAGACTACTGGATCTATATTGTGAAGGTGATTAGCACTCACCCGCGTTGGCAATGATACTGAGGAGACTGCAAGTCTATATTATGAGGGGGATTTTCACTCACCTGCGTTGGGAATGATACTGAGGAGTCTGCTGGATCTATAATTTGAGGCTGATACCACTCACCCGAGAGAAAGAATCATTGCAAGTTACACCAAAAATGCGGTAAAATTTACCGGTGGACACTTAAAGATGTTGGGGGGAGGGGGGTCTCCCCCACCCGGATCCTTCCGGAGCAATTTGCAGAGGGGGAGAAGTGGGGTTTTCCCCGTTGGAGCAGATGCTGCTGTTGTAGTGTCTGTTCTGTGTCGGAGGCCTTCTCTCCCCCACTTCCGTTCCCACCACCCCCGTTGCGTGGCATCTGTTACGTTGCCCTTGCTATGACCGGCTATGACTAGCTTAGACAAGCTCTGTCCAGCTTAGACAAGCTATGACTAGCTTAGAAAAGCTAAGACCAGCAGCCCGAATGAAAACACTCGGGTTCCAACGTTAAAAACCGAACGTGTATCACAACCTGACTCACCCTTGGGAAAGGTGTGAATCCTCTTCTCCCTCCAGCTATGGGTAAATAGCAGGACAGACTGGGTTCTATAGCCTTGGATGGCAACTGGTTTAGGAGAAGGAAAACTCTGAATTCAAACCTGCTCTTAGAGGTGGGTGAATGGAGTCTCTCTGAGCCTTGGTTGGCAATCCATTTAGTGATGGTGTCACGATAAAAAACACCCTTGATAGCCCTAGCGAAGCATGAAGAATTAAGCTACTTGACAAGATAATGAACTACACCAATCAAAGTATTGGTGAGTTCAATCTCGGCTGAGGCCGCAAGATGATGATGATGATGTCTCAGTGGAGGTTGAGGTATCTTGGACATTCAAAGATGTGGGTTTGCATCAAAAGCAAAATAGTAGAAGAAATTTGGTAAAAGTCGATTGAAGCTTAAACCGCGAAAGATTTATTAGTCTGCTAAGGTCTAATCTCCTACCAAACTGCAGATATTTTTCTTTTCAAAGTGATGGTGCTCTTTGCCACACATCACGTGCAACAAAATGGTTGTTGTGGATGAAGATGTTTAACTGTTGGCCAGTGCAAAGTCCTGATCTCAATATAATTGAAGCATTGTGGTGGAAACTGAAGAAAAAACTGCTCCGACGAAAATCATGCAATCTCCAAGGGCTTTGGGATTACTGTTAAGAATTGGAAATGCATTCCAGTGGAAAATCTGAACGGTGCTACATTCAATGCCACTACAAATTTTGGTAATTGTTCAAGCCAAAAGAAGCAACATTTATTACAAAATCCCTTCTTGAACGTTTTATTATTTCTATAATAATAATAATAATAATAATAATAATAATAAGGATCACCTTTTGCAAAAAAATCCCTTTTAGCTTAGAACTTTAAAATCAATATCTTAGATAAAGTCTCAGTATTTTTTTGCACGACCTTGTTTCCAACATCACTGTGCTTCAGATGATCTAAGGATGCATTGAACTTGGATGGGGAAAAATTAAACGATTACTCTCCCAGCCGCTACGGGAGTAATAGACAGAGAAAGGAAATGAGTCGAGAGGTGACAAAATGGCAGAGCAAATTTTAGGAACAAAGTCCCCCACAAGACCGACTTCACAAGACACCGTGTCTTGCCTACTGATGGTTATCCTGTCGCTTTTATTGACAGTTGACAGGAGACAGTTGACGAGAAACCCGGATCTAGACACGTTGCAGGGAGGACCGTATCTGAACATGCCGATGCTAATGGGGGAAACCCAGATGTAACTGGTTTTGACAGACATGTCCGCATTTGATCCAGGGATGTTTTACGTCTATAGTGACGCGTGTTTGCGCGCTATACATCCATATAATTATTAATTAAATGCCGTAAGTTGTTTTCTGGCCGTTAGAGATCAGGGTATTTTAGCGAGAAAAAAGTATTCTGCTAAATCACTCGAGATCTGGAGGACGAAATGAACAAATGAGGATGTTGTCAATCAGAAACCGTCTCAGTGGGTTCGGTTACGCACTTGGAAGGCAATAATCACTGGGCCCCGCCTGCAAGGTTACCCATTGCTTTTTATCAAATCTGGTTATCGTAACACGCACATTTGGCTGTGGTGCGTGTATCTGGTATACAACTATCAAACTGGATATCATGATGTGTATATTTGGCTTTTTATATATTTGTAAAGAAGAAGAAGAAGAAGAAGAAGAAGAATTTAGAGAGAATATGCAAGGAAAATTTTAAGATGAAGATCACCATGTGGAAAGAAGAAGAAAGAAAAAATCTGAAGAAGAAGAAGAAGAGAGTGTGAAAAGGAGAAGAAGTAGAAGAGTAGGAAGCTAAAGAAGATGAAGAGTGTGAAAAGAAGAATTTAAGATAGATTACGAGAAGAAGAAGAAGAAGAAGAAGAAGAAGAAGAAGAAGAAGAAGAAGAAGAAGTAGATGGAGAGATTTTTGGAAAAAAGAAGAAAAAGAATTTAAAGAGAATATGCAAAGTAAACTTTTAAGATGAAGATCACCATGTGGAAAGAAGAAGAAAGAAAAAATCTGAAGAAGAAGAAGAAGAGAGTGTGAAAAGAAGAATTTAAGATAGATTACGAGCATGTGGAAAAGAAGAAGAAAAAGAATTTAAAAAGAATATGCAAAGAAAATTTTAAGATGAAAATCACCATGTGAAAAGAAGAAGAAAGTAAAATTTGAAGGAGAAATAGAAGAAGAAGAATCTAAAGAAGATGAAGAGAGTGGGAAAAGAAGAATTTAAGATAGATTTCGAACATGTGGAAAGAAGCAGAAGGAGGAGGAGGAGGAGAAGAAGAAGTAGAAGAAGAAAAACATGTGGAAAGAAGAAGATGAAAAAGAAGAAGAAGAAGAAGAGCATGTGGAAAATAGAAGAAGAAGAATTTAAAAAGAATGAAGAGAGTGTGAAAGAAGATAGATTACGAGCATATGGAAAGAAGAAGAAGAAGAAGAAGAAGAAGAAGAAGAAGAAGAAGAAAACTTTTAAGTTGAAGATTATTATGGTGGCAAGCGGTTCATTCACTCATTACTACTACTACTACTACTACTACTACTAATAATAATAATAATAATTGACGAGGGCAGTCCTGATGTATACGAGGGTACTGAGGGAAAAAATCTTGGTGTCATTGAACCTCTAGCAATAACGGAATACCTTGTGTGCAAAGGAGAAGAGGAGGAATGTAGTTTTAAGAAAGTCATCACAGTAAAAATAATATAGTATCCATCTTTCCCCCTCTCCCTCCCCCTCTCCCCCTCTCCAAAAGAAAAGAAAGATACAGTTAATTGGTCCTGACTATTCAATGGGAATCAAACAAAATGAGATAGAAATGAAAAGTCGTCAAAAGAAATTGAGTAAGGAAAAGAAGAGGACATGAAGACAGATGAGGAGGAGAAGAATTTAGATTAGATAAAGAAGAAGAAGAAGAAGAAGAAGAAGAGGGAGGAGGAGGAGGCGGAGGAGGAGAAGAAGAAAGCAAAACAAATCAGATTAGGAATCAAATGGAATGAAGAAAAAAAAGAAATTAAGAAGACGTGGAGAAGAAAAAGAAGAAGAAGAAGAAGGAGGAGGAGGAAGAGGAGGAAAAGGCGGAGGGGAAGAAGAAAGCCAAAAAGATTAGATCAGCAATCAAATGGAAAGAAGACGACGAAGAGGGAGGAGGAGAAGGAGGAGGAGGGGAAGAAGAATGCAAAACAGATCAGATCAGGAATCAAATGGAAAAGAAGAAGAAGAAGAAGGAAGAAGAAGAAGAACAAAAAAAGAAGAAGAATCAAAGAAGAAGAAGGAAGAAGAAGGAAGGGAAGAAGAAAGCAAAACAGATTAGATCAGGAATCAAATGGAAAAGAAGAAAGGGAAGGGGGAGGGGGAAGAGAAAGCAAAACAGAAGAATCAAATGGAAAGAAGAAGAAGAAGAAGAGGGAGTAGGGGGAGGGGAAGAAGAAAGCAAAACAGATTAGATCAGGAATCAAATGGAAAGAAGAAGAAGAAGAAGAAGAAGAAGAAGAGGGATTAGGGGAATCAAATGGAAAAGAAGAAGAAGAAGAAGAAAGAGGAGTAGGGGGGAAGAAGAAAGCAAAACAGATGGATAGATCAGGAATCAAATGGAAAGAAGAAGAAGAAGAAGAAGAAGGGAAGAAGAAAGCAAAACAGGATCAGGAATCAAATGGAAAAGAAGAAGGAAGAAGAAGGGAAGTAGGGGAGGGGAAGAAAGCAAAACAGATTAGATCAAATGGAAAGAAGAAGAAGAAGAATCAAATGGAAAGAAGAAAAGCAAAAAGAAGAATCAAATGGAAAGAAGAAGAAGAAGAAGAAGAAGAAGAAGAAGAAGAAGGAATCAAATGAAGAAGAGAAGAAGAAGAAGAAGAAGAAGAAGAAGAAGAAGAAGAAGGAAATGAAGAGCGTGGGGAAAAGAAAAGTAGAAAAATTTAAAGTTAATAAAGAGCGTGTGGATAAAGAAGAGGGAGAGGAAATTGAATCAGTTGAATAGAATGTGGAAAGAAGAAAAGGAAGAAGAAAAAGAATTTAAAGTTAATGAAGATAATGTGGAAAGAAGAAGAAGAAGAAGAGAGTGGGGAAAGAAGAAGAAAAAATTTAAAATAGATGAAGAGCGTATGGAAAAAAGGAGAAGAAGTTGAAGAAGAAAAAATTAAAGAAAATATGCAACGAACAATTTTAAGAAGATGATGATGACCATGTGGAAATATCAAGAAGAAGAAGAAGAAGACTTGCAATGAAAAATTTTATTTAGATGTCCATATGGAAATATGAAGAAGAAAAAGATGAAGAATTAAATAGATGAAAACAGGTGGAAAGAAGAAGAAGAAGAAGAAGAAGAAAAAGAAGAAGAAGAAAAAGAAGACGAAAAATTAAATTTAATGAACAGAATGTGGAAAGAAGAAGAAGAAGAAAAAGAAAAAGAAAAAGAAGAATTTAAATTAGATGGAGGGCACGTGGAAAGAAGAAAAAGAAGGATTAAAAGTAGATTAAAAGCATGTGGAATGTAGAAGAAGGAGAAAAAAAAGAAGAAGCATTTAAAGTATATTATGTGCATATGGAAAGAAGAGGAAGGAAAACCAGGATTTAAAATATCGTGTGAAAAAAAGTACAAAAAGAAGACGAATCTAAAGTAGATGGAGAGCATGTGGAAAGAAGAAGAAGAATTTTAAGTTAATAAAGAGGATGTGAAAAAAGAAGGAGAGAAATTTGAAACAGATGAATAGAAAGTGGAAAGAAGAAGAAAAGGAAGAAGAAAAAGAATTTAAATTTGATGAAGATTATGTGGAAAGAAGAAGAAGAAGAAGAATTTAAGGTAGATGATGGGCATGAGGAAAAAAAAATAAGAAGAAGAAGAAGAATTTAAAGAAGAGGGCATGGAAAAAAGAAGAATTTAAGGTAAATGAAAAGCATATGGAAAGAAGAAAAAGAGGAAAAAGAACTTAAAGTAAATGGAGAAATTGTGACAAAAAAAAGGGGTGAAGAATAAGAACAATTTCAAGTAGAAGAAGATGAAGAAGAAGAAGAAGAAGAAATTTAAAATAGATGAAGAGCACATGGAAAATTTAAATAAAATATGCAACGAACAATTTTAAGATGATGATGATGACCATGTGGAAATATCAAGAAGAAGCAGAAGAATTTAGAGTAGATGAAAAGCAGGTGGAAAGAAGAAGAAGAAGAAGAAGAAGAAGGTGGGGGAGGGGAAGAAGAAATCCAAACAGATCAGATCAGCAATCAAATGGAAAGAAGAAGACGAAGAGGGAGGAGGAGAAGGAGGAGGAGGGGAAGAAGAATGCAAAACAGATCAGATCAGGAATCAAATGGAAAGAAGAAGAAGAAGAAGAAGAAGAAGAAGAAGAAGAAGAAGAAGAAGAAGAAGAAGAAGAAGAAGAAGAAGAAGAAGAGCATGTGGAAAAAAGAAGAAGAATTTAAAGAGAATATACAAAGAAAACGTTTAAGATGAAGATCACCATCTGGAAAGATAAAGAAAAAATTGAAGGAAAAGTAGAAGAAGAAGAAGAAGAAGAAGAAGAAGAAGAAGAAGAAGAAGAAAAAAAAGAAGATGAAAAGAGTGTGAAAAGAAGAATTTAAGATAGATTACGAGCATGTGGAAAAGAAGGAAGAAGAAGCTTTCTTATTCTTTCTCTTGACCAATTGACCACGAAATAATAAGATGTTCAAAAAGACAAATTTAAAGAGGAATATGACTATGTGAAAAAATGAAGAATACGAAAGAAAGGGAGGAGGAGAAGGGAAGAAATTAAAGGGAAGAAATTAAAGAAGAAGAAGAGAAGAAGAAAAGAAGAAGAAGAAGAAGAAGAAGAAGAAGAAAAGGAAGAAACAAAGATTATGTACAAGAAATAAGAGTAATCGAATCAAGAAAAAAACAACCAAGAAGACGAAGAAGAGGAAGAAAAAGAAGACATTGAAGAAGTAACAAAATATGGCGAGGGAGAAGGAAAGGAGTGTTATGAAGAAAGGAAAAAAAAGAAAAAGACAAAGAAGAAGAGGGCGTAAAATGTAGACTGTTGATGCTAGTCATCCTCCTCCTCCTCCTACTACAACTTCTACAAAGGGGATAGAAGGGTTGGAGGAGGAGGAGGAGAAGAACGAACATGAAGATAGCGACGAAGAGGAGGTGGAATAACGTTGGAAGATGGTGAGCTGAAAAGAGAAAAATTGAAATATCGGGATGTTACGACTGCCGCTACTACAATTACTACTACTACAAAAAAAGATAGGATGATGACGATGATGATGATGATGATGGTGATGATGATGATGACGATGTTGTTGATGATGGTGATGATGATGATGACTATGTTGATGATGTCGATGAGGATGATGTTGATGATGATGAAGATGACGATGACGATGTTGATGATGAAGATGACGATGATGACGATGATGATGATGATAATGATGATGATGATGATGCATGTCAGTCTGTTGTCTGTCGTGACATGCCGGACGCATCTGAGCGCACATTGGAAATTTTTAAGGCGTTTGTCAAAGTCGACCCGGCAGCTGGTTGTCCGAGAAAAGTGGACAAGGAGCAGTTGGCTTAAGTAAGACAACGTGGCGGTTTATTGATGAACACTGGGCCGGGAAGGCCAATGGCAAGGGTGCGGGAGTCTGGACGGTGCATATGCAGGGGATTAGTGACGTGAGATTAGGCGAGATTGCAGCGCCAACCGTGGGCAAATGTGTTCCGCCTAGGGATTAGAAACAGGGAGGGATGCAAGCACTGGGGCTGGGTGGGCTAGGTTGCCAAAAACTGTCAAAGGGGGGAATTTGCATAAGGCTAAAGATTGGAAAGACACTGGGAAGAGTTGATATATATATATATATATATATATATATATAAAATTGTGAAATGAACAAAAGGGAGGAAACTCTAAAAGTACAAAAAAAGTAAAAAAGATATAAGAAAGAAAGAAAGAAAGAACGAAAGAAAGAAAGAAAGAAAGAAAGAAAGAAAGAAAGAAAGAAAGAAAAACAATAATTTAATAGAAAAGAAGTAAGATACAAAAATATGTAAGGAAAGAAAAGCAGCATGGTAGAAAAACAAAGAAAGAAAAAGAATGGA